TCCTTCTTTGATAAAGGATTTTTACGAAATCATTTTGACGACTTTGCAATTTTGTAACTCTACTAGTTTCCAGTTCACTCCTCTGTATGCCGAGGCCATTAGCACCTTATCAGGGTTCAGTCATGTGTTTGTTGTCTATTCTGAACCAATAAAAATAGTATAGCGGTAACAACTATCTTTCTGTCTATCTCATTATCCAATTAGAGTTATGACTCCTTCAATCGGCGCTATCAGTAAATGGAAATATTTACTTCTACTGAAGCTATAGTGAGTTTATACCTAAGAAAATTTCATAAAGTAATCACAAACTTTTGTTTTTATTTGTGAATTTTCTTAAAAATTAAAATTGAATTTAGTCGGACAGGCAATTAAAAAACCGGCTATATACTTTCCCATGGGGTTATTTGAGTTAAAATTTTGGTTCGATTGGTCGATTATTAGACACAAACAAACTGACAGCCAAATAAATATATTTTTTAAACTAAAATTTTGTAAAAATTGTGGACCTTGCTTAAAGATTTTAAAGATTTTTAATAAAATAAATTAAAGTTTAAAAAATTAAGTTCGAAAAATAATTTTTTCAGAATTGTAATTTTTAATCAAACCTCTACTTTAAGAATAGATTTTTCACGAAGTTTGTGACGATAATGATTATATTTTAAACATGACCCGGTAAATTAAAATTTTTAACAAGAAACAAAGGCTGTGACGTTCAATGTTAATCAATAAGATTTTTAACAATAGATTTCCCATTTTAGATTGAATTTTATTTTTAATAACATAATTTTCATTAATTTTAAAGAAAAGAGGATGGGAAGAAAGACTTGCATATACAGTTGTTGTCCTAAAGCACTAATTAATTTTAATTCGTACTCTTGCTATTTTTGATTTGACAAAAATACAAAGTTGATGTTTATTGTTTAAGTTGTAGTTTCATTTGTTTAAAGTTTACTTTTTCTGTTAAAAACCAACATTTTGTGTGAATATCGAACTATCAAAAGTATTTCAAAGTTTTGAACAAAAAATTTCTAAAACACTAATATTTCATAATACTTGTTCAAATTCGTGACCCATGTAGAAGTTAAATTCAAAAACAGGATTTAAATTATTTTTTATTAAGAAATTTACATATTTTTTTGTTCTGCTCGAAAATACTTAAAAAGTTCCAATTTTACAAGGAATGTTAAATACAAAAATTAACAATTTATATGCTTAAGGATAAAATTTACTGAAATGATAAATATATTATGCATATGCATATATTATATTATTATGAATGAATGTCGCCTATTTTTCCTTAATTTTGCACTTAACTTAACTTTGTAAAACTGTATATTTTTCTCAACAAATTAGATATAGGTTTAGATAACTTGAGTTTGTGGCAAAAACTCAATTCCTTTAAACTATCATTGTAAATATATTTTTGTGTATATATCCATGTATATTTTTTATCAGTTTATATTAATAAATCTGTATATTAAAAACATGAATTTTTAACGATGCCAAGAAAAACTTTTTTTTAAAAATTGTATTTTTATACCAGGATTTAGAAACGGAAAATAGTGAGACAAGATAAGTTTAACAAGAAAAACAAAATTCGACGATGTTATAAAAAGTCATGTATTTAATATAATAATTTAATACCGCATAATTCGTAATACGTTAAATTCAAACAACTATGTTTCTATCACATACAACTACATTCACTGCATTTTTGTAGAAAATTAATTATTTTCATATTTCATGAAGCTTTTTTAGGTTCTTAAAATGTATAAATACATCCCAATTTAGATTAAAAATATAAATCAACCAAAAAAAACAAAAGGTTCAACTATTTCCATGAAAAATTGTTAAAATATTGGGATGTTTAACCAAAATATTAATTTTTCATACTGCCACACTCCTCTTCCGCTTTAGTAATTGTAAATTGGCTGTACAGTTCAAAGTAGAACTGCAAAGGTTGACCCATCTCAGATATTCAATTGGACACCGGTGCCTGGCACAATTGGAGTAAGAAATAGAAGGTTAAATTCAAACTGAAGAAACCAAACGCATTTCGCCCTGGTTAGTTCAGCTGCTGAGTGGTAATCAATATATCTCTAAAGATGTTGAGGAAACATTTTTAAAAATAAATCTGTTAAGAATAGAAACTCCTTTTATACAGATAAAAACGACACTATTTCTACATTTTTCTGGTTTCCATTTTTCAGAACCACCATATCAATAGCTAGCTGAAGGGCACGGCGTTGCCCGTGGAAAAAAAAATTTGAAAAAAAGTTCGATTTTTTTTGCCCATAACACCCTCGGCCACCCATGAGTGTCCACATACGAATGACTTGTTTTATTATATAGATAACTATATGTTTTCAATATTTAAAAAACTACTTAAACAGTTTTTACGACGAAAGGTTAGTACTAATTTTCATAAATTGTTATAATTTTATAAACACTTCTTTTCTTTTCCAGAACTCGTCATGTAAAATTTTATGTGTTTTCTCTTCATTCAAATGTACACTGTTAAAAATACCCTAACAATTACAAACGATTTGTTCGAAATAATTAACAGATATCTTATATAATTCTGTACTTAATGTTGAAAAAAATGTTCCAATTTTTATTAAAGTTCCAAAAAAATTTCGAATTCGATATTTTTTAGATTGTGTTCGAATAGAAAATAATTTTTCTGTATCCTGTATTGAGATTTTCCCCTTGGGTTTCAAACACATCTCCCATTCGCTTCCGGGAATTTAAATTTTAAATTCCCCTCTCCCCGCTATCAAATCCCCCCCCCTTCCTCTGACTCTGAGAGATAAGATTTCAATCTGTTTAAATTCCCCTTTAAAATCTGATAAAACAGCCAATGAGAGAACAGGGTGAAAATACAGGATGGGAATATTGAAATTTGATTCCACAGGGTGAGTCAGTTTTAATTAATTTAATTTTTTACATTCACAAAAATATTTCCTTTAATTCTTTTTTCGAGGAAAAGATTCCGTAGATGTTCTTCCCTGTCTCTGCTGTAGATGTTATTCCCTGTCTCTGCTGTAAAAAACTCTGATTCTTAGATAATGAATCAAAGAAACTATTTTGAATTGCTCACTGCACTTTTTGATAAAGGGTTGCATTAAAATCTGTATTAAAAGTCATCATAAAAAATCTTAAAAAATTTTATTTCTATTTTTTGAGCAGACCTTTCATGCGTGTCAGAATTTCGTGACTTTTTAGATAAGATTTCAAAGCTTGTTAAATCCCCCCCTGATCCCCCTTGTTCGAGGCTCAGCAATCTATAGGATTTCCAGTTAAAATTGGTAAATAGACTTAAAGTCTTTTTTAATTATCTATTTTTTGTTTTTATACTTTAAATCCATCGGATTTCAGGGAATCTGATTTATCAAAATATTTAGTTCAAAACAAGGTTTAAAGGGAATGAACCCGGTATTTCAAGTGAACATCAAATGGAGGTTGTTTGTGGATTCACACTGTAAAATGTTGCAGCGACAACAAAGAAAATTGTCAGGTTTTAACACGTTTAAGACAAAAATGAAGATATCTTTCTCATTGTTTTTAGATAAATGGGACACCGTTGTGAACTAGAGCGTCACTTGAAATTACATATACAGTCCCTTTAAGCTGGAAAAAAAATCTTTTCAATTTATTATTTTGTCTTTTCTTTTCTTACTTTTTCTCAAACTAACGACGCCATATTTTTTATCCATCCGCCATTTTTCTGTATCCATCCGCAATGTTTTCTGTATCTGTCCGCCATGTTTTCTCTATCTATCCGCCATGTTTTCTCTATATATCCGCCATGTTTTCTCTATCTATCCGCCATGCTTTCTGTATCTATCCGCCATGTTTTCTCTTACTATCCACCATGTTTTCTTTATCCATCCGCCGTGTTTTCTCTATCTATCCGCCATGTTTTCTCTACCTATCCGCCATGTTTCCTCTATCTATCCACCATGTTTTCTCTTTCTATCCGCAATATTTTCTCTATCTATCCACCATGTTTTCTCTATCTATCCGCCATGTTTTCTGTATCTATCCGCCATGTTTTCTCTATCTATCCGCCATGTTTTCTCTATCTATCCGCCATGTTTTCTATATCTATCCGCCATGTTTTCTCTATCTATCCGCCATGTTTTCTCTATCTATCCACCATGTTTTCTCTGTCTATCCGCCATGTTTTCTCTATCTATCCGCCATGTTTCTCTATCTATCCGCCATGTTTTCTCTATCTATCCGCCATGTTTTAAAAAAAGTCTTTTGCAAATACATGCATATATTAAGCTGGTTAAAAAAAAGTTTCAAAAATTATCTGGCAATCACGTCAAACAAAAGTAAATTGCATGAAGATTGAAATATTGGATGTTTTCAATCATATCTCCTCTTAATAAAAAGATATTGAGCAAAACAAAATTTTTTGATATTCTAATATTTTACCGGATAAATTTGATCTCCTCGTACTTTTTTTTGTAAAATCAAAACTGGATGAGCTACGAGTTCACAAAGTCGTATCTTTAATAATGCCTGAATGCGACCTTCTCCTTCTCTCTAGTTTGCAATATCGTGGAAAGTACTTTTTAAAATATTGAGTTTTATTCTTTAGTTTCTTCCCTCATTTGAACTTTAAGTATTACTTTGAAATTATGACCTTCTCTGAAAGTTTCTGGCATTTTCACTCTTTTCTCTGCTGCTCTTCTATTAAATTTTATAAAAATGATATTACATTATACTGTATTTCAATAAACAAATAGTAATTAATCTACGGTTGCATTGAAACATTTCTCAACAGTACACTAATATAGAGTAGTACACGCACGCTCAAATTGTACGCGGCAAAATCCACAAAAAAAACGCCATTTTGGCGCCATTTTTCCCAGATGTACGCCACGTGATTCAACAGGTCGCATTGTATTTGAGACAAGCACAAAACAATTAACAATTCTCCTAATATATATATAAATATATTTACTGCTCGTCTCAAATACAATGAGAATAAATAAATTAAATTTTTTTCAAAAAAAAATCTGTGATTATTTTGATTTTCAAAAGTAAACATTTTTTAACATTTATCTCCTTGTGCTTGGTTTACTTTTAGGGACAGGTTTAGGTCCCTAGTGAAGGTAACAAAAAAATACTTAAAAACCCATTTCTTTATCATTTTATAAAATGTCCAGGTTAAATTACACTTTTTTAGGTGAACTAAGTTATATTTATGAAAAGAAATGGGCGTTCAGTAGTTTTTAATGATCTCCCCGACTTATAAAATGTATAATTTTTACATTTTTTATCTCCTTTAGTGTTTTATAAAAATTACAAGTCGACAGCGACATAGATCACAGATTGTTTAAATGGATTTAGAAATCCAGTATTTTTACTTTTTTCACGCTTTTAGCAAAAAATTGGATTTCAACGGCATAATGGTACACTTCGAAATACTGTTTTTTTTTAGATTGTGACTAGAGATTAAAAAAGAGAGATCAAAAAACTTAAACTTTAAAATTCTGACTAGAAATAAATTTGAGATCGGCGCAAGCTCGAAAACTGAAAATCACAAGAAAAAAATATTTGAACATTTTGCTGTTATTCATCTACGGAAAAATATACAAAATCCAGAAATCCACAATTTTGCTTATAAAAAAATGCGCAAATTTTGTAATTATAACCTTTGGCGCATTTTTTGGAATTAATAGTTCAGGGGAAGGCAACAAGAAAAGTTGGAGGACCGCCTTTCTGCCCCCTTGACTTCAGAACCCTGCCTGTATACTTTTCTTTAAATGACATTTCTGACATCTTATTCCGGACCTTTTTATCTGGCCCAAAATTAAAAATGAATTTTGAGAAATAAATTTTTTCTATATAACTACATAATTTTTTAGAAAAGAAGAAAGTTGACGAGCACTTTTTTTACATTTGATTAAATCTTGCACAGAATTTAATAGCATTAGTGGATAGCCAACAAATTCAGCATTATATTTGGCCGCTGAAACACCTCTTCTCAAATTTGATTAAAAAGACATTTTGATAGCACATCAAAATATATGACATACGTGTAATGTTTCAAGAGGAGGCTTATTAAATTTTTTAATTAAAAATATCTATGGCACTAGAAATGGTTGAAGATTTTGTATTAAAAATCACAGAGGAACTGAAATCTCTCCATTCATGATATATTGAGTGTTGAAAAAGTAGGAAAAGAAACTAATTTTTGTTGCCATGGAATTTGAGGTAGTAGATAGATACGGAAATACATTCATAAACAACCCTCCCCCTCACCCCTAGTTTAAAAATTAAATAAAACATGATAATTTACAGTTTTGTTTACACCGACTGTTTTTACTGCAATCACTGGATAAAGGTTTGGAATGTTACATTAATAATGACTGAAATAAAAGCAGTGTCTGTTACTGGAATGGTTTGGTTTACTCTTGTAAATACTTTGGTTTGAAATGAGTTTCTATTTAGTGACGAGACTAGATAAGATTATATATCTAACACTGCTGTCCTGTTAAAGGATCAAATCGTCTTTCTTTGGTTTAAGATAAATCTTTGGTAGATTGACTACACACTTGCTGAACTGGGTTTAACTTGTAGCCTCCTCCATTTGTTCCTCTGAGGGCGTATGTCCCGGACTAGGAGAGACAGGGGGTGTTTGAGGCGGAGTATCCTTCTGCACCTTCTTAAGCATCTCTGACAGAAACATGTTGAAAAGCCCCTGAAACTGTTGGCCTCCACCGCCAGGGGCTGCAAGGCCTGGAAGAAGGAGGGGGTTCATCAAGCCCCCTGGGAACTGACCCATCATTTGTCTTTGCAGAATGTCATTGATCGGGGAATTCTTTAATCCTCCCTGGCTCTGCATCTTGTTGAAGTCCAAGGGGAAGGGAAAAGGTGATGGGATTTCTTTCCCATCCTCATCTCCTTGTTTCTCCTCCTCATCCCGGTCTGTAATATCATCATCCTCCTCCTCCCGACTCTCTTCTCTCTCCAACCTTCCATTTTCATCCCTCTCCTGGTCTTTGTTCTTACTCAGAATACCATCAAGGCCTGATGTAGGGGGCATAGCTCCATGACTCTTGATAATGTGAACCTGAAGAGTGACAATATCTGAAAAGGTGTTGCTGCAAAGAGAACAAACATGTCCCTGTGAATCCTTCATCCTGTCTAACTCCTTCATTCGTTCCATATTCTTCTCTCCTTGCTGCATCAATAGACGGCTAAACTCACCCATAGGTGGGGGTGGGTAGTCACCCATTGGGAACATATTCATTAAACTGTTCTCTCTCATATGGGGCGGGATTGGAGAACCGTCTTCATTCAGTCCATGAGCATTACCCATGTGAACTTTAAGAAAGTATTTGCTGGATACTTCCTTCTTGCAAATTTCGCAGTTGATGGAGTTGGAGGGAGGTCCTTGTTCCATAACAATTCCGTGCATTTTCATCATGTGTGTCTTCATAAAATACTTGTTACAAAGCTCTTTCTTACATATCTCACAGTAGCTTCTGCTTAAGCTTGCTGGCTTCTTGTTTGGATCTCTATCAAGGCTGGGGCGCTTCAAGGGACTAAGGTCCATCTTTCCTCCTAACTCTTTCTTCATTTGGTCCAAGAAGCTTGGACGCGGAAGACCTTGAATCTGTTCAAATATACTTTTGGGGTAGTCCATGGGTTTCTCAGAAAGCTTTGGTAAACCATTTGACTGTGGTGAGTGGGACATTGGCTGGGACATGATGGGACATGGAATATTAAGTCCTAGACTCTTCATACCCTGTAGTTCTGTGAGTTTTGAGAGATCTGCTGGATACTGAGGCAAAGAGATGGACATGTTGGATGATCCAAAACCCTCCTCCTCCTCAGCATTAAGCATGCCATGCTCATTCATCATGTGCGCATGGAGGAAGTACTTATTCTCCATATCTTTGTTGCATTTCTTAAAAACTGTTGTGTTCTCCTGGGATGTCAGTTTGGATTTCCCATTGTTCAGTTTCATTATCATGTTTTGAAGATTTGCTAGTCCCTCATTCGTTTCCCTTCCCTTGTTCTCATCCTCCACGGATTCACAATTTTCGGGGTTTCTTTGTTCCACCTCATCCGAGGACTGTGACTGGTCCCCTGAGACCTCTGGCAATGGTGATTTGATGACCGAAGCACTTTCATCAATTTTTAGTTCACACTCCGGTTCAATCATCTGGCGGGGGGAGAACTGTAAATTTATGGGTCTCCCTTCCTCTCTTTCATCCGGTTTATCAGAAGAAGATGAAGAACGGGTATCTTCTCTTCCGTAGGAAATTGGATCTAGGGGAGGAAGATTTAGAAAGTTTGGCAAAGTTGGGGGCCTGATAAGGTTGAGGGGCGATCCAAGAGGGCCTCCAATTGATTTAGGGGGATCTGATAAAGTGGTGGGGGGTCGAATCATGGAAGGGGTGCCTAGGGTTAGAGGTGGCATGGGCTGTCCTGTCTTACCAGCTTCCTTGGCCATTTGCGCTAGAATCTTCTGTACTTTTTCTGGTGGTAGTTCAGGAGAGCATACACCATGCTTCTTCAATTTATGTACTCGCAAGAAATACTTATTGCAAAATTCTTTACAACAAAATTCACAGAAAGCATCTGCATTAATGACTCCCATCTGACGCAGCTTGTCAGGGGTCATTGACCCCTTGGAGCAAGAACTAGAAGAACTGTTGGGAACATTGGGAATGTTGGGAATAGGTCTAGGACTGCTCATACTTGTTGGGATATTCATCATATCCTTTCTCTCCTCCTCTTTCCTCATTAGGTCCATGGGGCCCATGTTCATGTTGAAAAAGGGTAGAGGCCCAAAAGGGTTCATGTGGGGTACCATAGATAACCGTAGGCTAGGAGGCAGGTTGTTCATATCCTCAAGTTTTCTAAGTTCGGATTCAGTCTCTTTGTTATCTGTTATCTCTCCTTGTTCTCTCTCATTTGAGGATTCTGATCTCTCATCTCCTGATATAAGGGGTGGGGGACCTGTCTTTGGTGACATTCTTGCAGGTGATGCTTCTAGGGATCCTTGATGGTCTGGGGACTCATTTGGCGACTTGTTTTCATGAATTCCTTTAGATCTGACAATAGAGTCAAGGCCTAAGCTCATACGTGGTGAAGTTTCCAAAGATGGGCGCATAGATGCCATAGCCATAAATGACCCTGAGATTGATACTGGAGTGTGTGCCATACTACTCATCATGGAGGAAGATGGCATCCTCATTCCCTGCTCAAACATTCCAGAACCACCTCCTCCAAGGGTGAGTGAGTCAAACCTTTGACCTGAAGTGGGCACAATGCCAGCATCACTGTAGATTCCATGCTTGTTGGCCATGTGGGTTTTTAGGAAATACTTGTTACAAAACTCCTTGTTACAAAGTTTACAGTAGGCTTCAATGTTGAATATCTGGGTCTTACCACCATGCGAGGTTGGTGGAGTGAATCCTTGCTCCGACTCTGAACCTGGAGATGCTGGTCCCCCTGGCATGCCTGAGAAGGGGAAGAGAAAGTGTGGTGGAAGTCCAAAGTGAGAACTGAATCCTGGTGGGTAGGAAGGGTTAGAATGATTCTCCTGGATTTTTTCCGGGTTCTGGAGGAGCTCTCGGCCTCGTACTCTGAGGCTTCCAACCTCTTTATCATCATCATTCTTAACCCCAGAGGAGAGGTTAAGTGGCGCATCATCCTGGCAAACATCATTTTCTACATTAGTAAACCTCATAGCTTCTGAAGCTACTCCATGACGTACCTCACCCTCTTCCATATCTCCCTCATCCTCACATCCTTCCTCACCCCTTTCAACTCCTTCTCCTCCTTCTCCTCCATCGTCACTGCCAAGTCTGATAGGTTTACTTTGCTTTCTTCGTTTCTTTGAAACATATCCGTTCAAAGCTCCGCCAGCTCTCTTACCATCATATTCACGTTCATGATCCTCATCTATAAATTGGAAATGTTAAAAGGTTGAAAAGGCATTTAGATTGAACTGTAATAGAAAAATAATTTAATAAATATATAGAGAAAAAGTGAATTGGTTGAAGGGGGGGGTTCATAAAAAACAAGATCTCGAATTATATTTCCTAAATTTCTTCAGAGTAATTTCTGATATTGAAGTTAAATAGTTTGAACTTTATTCCCCTAAAATCCTGAACTTTATATTTATTATTAAGAAAACAATTCCATTTGCAGGAAATATTTGGCCCGGGATTAAAAAAAAAAGCATAAAGATTAGGAAAAGCAATGAGAGAATATGGAGAATGAAAAAGAGAAGAAAAAAATTTGATAAAACAACTAAAAATGACCGAGCTAAGAACCAATGTGCATAATAAGAAGATGAGCCGGTACAAGAACTATTCGTTTGATTAGTTACAGTACAGTACATGAAAAATAGAAAGGCATGTACTAAACTAGTATAGATTTTTGTACAATTCAGAACAAAGTTTGTCTCGCAAGATTGACCAATAAAAGCCTAATAATAAATGTGTTTGAACTGATTACTGAATACATTTGAACCAAGTTGACAAGATTTATGAACTAAAAACTGGAGGCGGTGAAAGAGCTCAAAGTTGTACCTGAGTTGGAAGGAGAAGCTGATTCTCCAGTATACTGACTATATACAGCTCCAGGGTAGGTTGGAGGATAGGAGGGAGATCTAGTAGAGAATCTAGGGGAGCTGTTCTCTTCCCGTGGGTAGCTCGTGGGCTCGTCCTCGGGGTATGATGAGGGTCCGTCCTCAGGGTAGGAGGAGGGTCCGTCCTCAGGGTAGGACGGAGGGTCCTCATGATTATATGAGGGGGACGAGGTTCGTTCTTCTCTTCTTTCGTAATAATCTCGTCCTCTTTCTACTTCATATTCACCTTCTAAATATACAACAATAAACTACAATAAAACTTCAAGTTCTAATTATACAGTGAGAACCAGAAAACTATGGAATAAGCGACATTTTGTTTACCTTCCTAATACTTGAGAAATATTATTGAGAATTTTATAATTTAGAATTGTAATCTCTAAATTTTACAATTTAGAATTGTTATCTCTAAATTTTATAATTTAGAATTGTTATCTCTAAATTTTATGATTTAGAATTGTTATCTCTAAATTTTATTTACTTCGATATTATAAACAGAGATTGAAGGACATCCCATGTTCGTTATTTTAAACAAAATATTCTTAATTTCGATGTTTCGAATAAAATGTTAACCCTGTATAAACTAAGCATGAGAGACTAAAAAAGTTACCTGACGAAGTACAAGTCTGAATGACCTGCGCCGCTATGGCCTGCTGAAGATTTGACCTCTGTTGGAGGGAACCAACCCCGCTCTGCGCAGGCGCAGCAACAGCTTGCATTCTGCAATAACACATTCATTAAACATTAAAGTTTCAGTAGAATTCTTTAAAAGGTTTAAATACCCCTCCTTAAACAAGCCGTCCCCCCCTCCCCACAACTTACGCAAAAGTTCGTTAATTAGATCGACCCCCACTCTATACTCACACATCTACACAGTTTGTTTTTAATCTTTGTGAAGAAACAATCTCAAGGAATAATAATTGTCTTAAAACATTTTTTTTAAAGTGAATATTTGCAAATTATCTTTTTTCCATCTCATAATCTGAGTTCGTTTCCCTTATGTCCATTTGACAGCCCAAATTTTTATTTTGAATAATCTTTTTTGTTTGTTTATCTTCTTGTGATTTTTTACATTTTAAAATTTTTTTTTATCAATTTTGATGGTTATTATATCGTTAGAACTGACGAGGGTCAACCCAGACCGAAATATATTTTCAATAAATGTGGAACTAACATCTACTTTTTTACTCTACAGAGGTTTGGTCCATCACCATCACCGAATTTTAAATATTTACATTTACTGCTATTGAGCCGATTAAAGGATTCATATCTCTAATTGAATAATGAGATAGACAGAAAGATAGATGTTACCGCCATACTATTTCTATTGGTTCAGAATAGACAAAAAACACATGACTTAAAGGGAGTGTTCGCGAAAAATGAAAGGGGGTATAGGCTTAATGCGATAAAAAAGAAGAACGTAGTGTTTATTCAAATTTGGAAAGATGCAACATTCAACTCGGATCGTAAAAAATCTATTTAATTCCCAACAAATCATTCAGATATTACAAACAATAGTCATCGATTATTTTTCGACGCATTCGTAAATAGTTGATATTTCATAATATTTTGTATTTTTCATGATCTGAGAGTTACATTTTTTCCGGTTTCGAGGATTTTTGATAATGAAGACGACATTTTCATATTTTCCAGGAATGTTCGAAAATCCAGCGCCAGCGAAAATTAATCTATAAAAACAAAATCAAAAATATTATGAAATATTAACTATGTATGAATGCGTCGAAAAATAACCGATGACTATTGTTTGTAATATCTGAATGATTTGTTGGGAATTAAATTGATTTGTTTACGATCCGAGTTGAATGTTGCATCTTTCCGAATTTGTATGGGCGCTGCGTTCTTCGGTGTGATTCGTTTTAAACAATTTTCTCCTTATAGACGCAACAGATAGAAGTAAGATTAGTAGCAATCAAAAGCGCTTTTTTATCGCATTAAGCCTGTACCCCCTTTCATTTTTCGCGAACACTCCCTTAAACCCTGATTGGATCAGGCGCTAATGGACTCGGCATACAGGAGTGTAAAGAGACTGTATACGTTATCTCAAATGACCATTCCTTTAACCGGAAGAAATCGCCGTTTTTCTTCCTTAAACAGAGTTGAATTTCAATTAGAAAAATAAGTTTATCTTATTCATTCCTGGTAGGACAAAGGTTGGTAAAGGGTAACGTTGTGAATCGGCCATGTCACTCTAAAAAGAAGGATCTCTTGAAACCCAAGCTCAAATTTTCTGGACCCTATATCTTTGCAACCTGAGGCCGAATTTAAAGAGTTTGAGCCGCTGCTTAAATTTAAGCCGCGGCTCTAATATGGTTGGTTTCACTTAAAATTGTATTCTATTTTTTCAAGATTTAATTGAAACTGGTTTTGGGGGGATTTGAGACGCGGCTTAAATTAATGTAGACTTTACCTATTAAGCTGATATCATATTTTGAACTATGATTTTTTTTGATTTAAAAAAAATATTCTTGTGATGTTTTACAGTGTAAACTGGATCCAAAAAGAAAAAAATTTCTAAAATTTAGATTAAAAATTACACTTTTTAGTATTTTAACGCATTCGATATTTTTAGTTAGAGTTAAAAAAAATTACGGGAAATAATTTTATGCAAATATGAAAATTTGAATAAAGTGAAAAGAAATGATTTTACCTAAAATCCTTAAAGCGCCGTCACCACTGTAGGGAATCTTTAAGCCTCGCCACAAAATTCTAAAAAATATAAAAAATTAAAACTTAAAAGAGACAAAAGGCGTTCACGGAAAATATAAGAATTTTAAACAACAAATTTTTGGGAAAAGTGTTCAATTAAAAAAAAATTAAGGTAGAAACTCAGAAAGATGATCAAAGCATGAGAAGGGAGACAAGCCCCCCTCCCCCATCAAGCCTCTGATTAACCATTAATGGGGGAGGGGGGGGCTAAAACCTTTATATTTTTCAACGCGGGAAACCTAACACGCAATTTCAACATAAATTAAAAGAATTTGAAAGAATTACAAAATTAATTTGATAGATTGCCATATTTCTACTGTTTTTCTTTCCCTGCAATTTGTTAACAACAAAAAGACAAAAAACAAATCACACAATTTTATCATTATGATAATAAATTATACACTGTTTCCTGTTTAAACCATGCACAGTGCAGCTCCAGACCCTCCCCCCCCCTTTTAGAAAATTTATCCCTTTTTCCTGGAACCGTTCGCCTCGCTTTCATTTATATAATTTTAAACTTGTTTAACATTACTTTTAAGTTTTTGACTGAAATAAATACAAAAATTGAGAAATCTGCGAAAGAATTATTTACTTATTTTGTTCTATAAAATACTGAAGAAAATGCGCTAAATTCTCCAAAATTACAAAAATAATTTCAGGAACTTATCTACTTATTATTTTTCGATCATTATTAATCAAACAATTATTTTACAAATTTCCAAGTTTTCGTTATTTTCCACTAAATAATGATTCTTCATTTCTAATCTTACTGTTTTTATACAAAACTTTTAGTACGTCTGAACATGTGAACTTGAAATACAATCATTATTTAACATTCGTCATTTTTAATTCTTAAATGAATTGCGCCTTGTTTAGAACAACAAAAAGTAGACAAACTTAAATTTCGTGAAAATATTGTAAAAATAAGATTTGTTAGTTCAAATTGTCAAACTGTAGAATATAATTGATCAAACATAGTTTAATTTTATTGGACCCCCTCCCACTTATCTTTAATTTAGGAAAGCCTCCCCCCCTCCTCCACTTTAAGGAAAGCCAATCAACCCCCCTCCTTTTAATCATAGAAGGGGGGGGATATATATATTAAATAAATTAAATATTTTCAGAAAAGGTATCTGTTATAAGAGAAGAAACTCTGAGTAAAACTTTGAAAGTAAAATCCTAGGAAATTTCTCGTCTTTCAGAATTAAAAGCTTTTCCTTGGCAAATATTGATTCAACTCAAATTTTGAGAAAATTTTATTCTTTTCTCTTTTCTTTCTTCAGCTTAGAAGTCAGGAGGATTTTTCAATGGTTAAAGTGTGTACTTAATTTCAAGGGAAGCTGCGTTTACAAAGTAACCAGCCCGATTCAAAATAGGAAAATTTTGAATTTTTCATTAAAAGTTTTGCAGATTTTTTCAGTAGAGAAAAGAAGGGACACTGATACTTTAAAGGGATTTTTAGATAACGTGCAAAAACAACATTTACCAATCTGAATTTGTCTAAAAAATAATTTGTTGTGTCCGTAGTTTTATTTATTTGAGGTTGAATTGTTCTTAAATTTTACTTCTGTCATTGTTTTTCTTTCTCTTATATTGCTAATGCTCAAATCCCTTTAAAATCACATATTCTATTATTGAAATAATTAGTTTATAAGGAGAATGTTTACACGTTGTAAAAATATATTACAATAGCTTGAAATAAATCGTTAAAAATCTATATTTTTCGAATTTTCAAATACATATTTTAAAGTTGTATGGTAGTTGAACTTAGTATTGTGGAGAAATTTTTTAGGATTCATTTGAGACAGATAAAACGTTTTAATAGTGTATAATTACTGAGTTTGAGCGCAAAGTCGACTTTCAAAATCCCCCGTTTGGGTGGTTACTGGTTACGTTTTGAGAAACGGTTTTAAATTTCTCCACAATACTTTATTCTCAGTTTAACTACCTTACATAGCCGGTCTGTCCCTTTAAGAGTTCAAAAACCATGAATGTTTATTAATTTAATGCCAACTCTAAAAACATAACGATATTTTTAAGGGGGGAGGGAGGTATTAATTAAAAAATATAAAAGGTAAAAATTCTCCACAATACTACATTTTCAAGTCAACTACCTGCATTGCCGGTCACTCCCTTTAACGTTGTAACATTTATAAGACATAATTTGTGAATATCTAAAAAATTTTAGACCCAAATTATGGAAACAAAATAATAAATTGGCAAAAAACCTTTAATTAAATTGATAGCAAAAACATTATATTTATATTGAAAAATACCGACATAGATTTATTGAAAGAGCAAAAGAAATACATAGATTTTCCAAGAGAGATACATGGGCTGAATACAATTTATAGATTTGCACCCATATACATATGTACAAATATATAAATTTTCATCTAGAAAATAACTAGATAGATATTTTAAAGATTGATTAAAAAAAAGATTGAAGAAATACAGAATAGATAGATATAGATTGAGAGATAGATAGATATAGATAGATAGATAGATAGATAGATAGATAGATATAGATTGAGAGATAAATAGATATAGATTGAGAGATAGAAAGATATAGATAGATGGATATAGATATATAGATGGAGAGATAGATAGAAATAGATTGAGAGATAGATAGATATAGATATAGACGGATAGATAGAAAGATAGATGGATAGATAGTTAGATAGATAGATATAGATAGATATAGATAGATGGATAGATGGAAAGAAAGGAAAATAAAACTAAATTAATTAAAATCGAACAAATACATTGACATAGAGGGTGGAATGAGGTGTAATCGTGTGCCAGGGTGACATGGTGAAAAGAAGAATGAATTTTGTTAAATCATGGCGAAATAGTTAAATATTAAGAGATTTATTAATACTTTTTCATTTTAAAGGAAATTAGATTTTTTTCTTTATTTGTATTAAATCACCTATTTTCCTAGTAACCATTTTAGCCTTTAACTATATAATTGTTAAGCCGCCGGTTTTTCATCAAACTCTAATTATAAAAATTTGTTTGCAGATTTTTCTGTTAAAATTGATAGATTTTCAAACTCGAAAAATCGACATTTTTCAATTTCGACAAGCCGTAAACCTGCCCTGGGGTCATATGATTTTCCACAAAAAAAACTTGGGTCCGATTGACTTTTATTGAATTATACAAACAAGCCAAATATATAAGTAAACAATTCTTTTATTGGAGCTTTTTGTAAACATTTTTTTATTATATACAAATTTATAATCATTAAATGGACTGTGAGCGTAATGTCAAGTGACCCTCCTTATACAGATGTCAATGCACGATCTCCAACAGAACCCTTTGAAGCTTTTTCTGGTATTTATGAATCGGATATCCATATTTTTTTATTTAAACTCTGCGAAAGTAACTTGCGCATCTTGCTTTAAAAAAGCGATGAATAAATCATCAGAATTAAACACTTTTCTGGTCAGAACAAGGTCAGAACAAGGTCAGAAACTTGAAATTACGCTTACAGTCCTTAAAAATGATAAATAATAAAGGGAATTTCAGTTTAGATTGAACTCTAGTACTTGTTTAGACCTATTAAGAAAAAGTGTGAATTTCTTACATCCATCTTTTTATATAAAATAGTAACATCTGTTTGCCTGTTTCTTTGTGTTTGTCGGCTCAATAGTCATGAATCCCTGGAATGATTTGCCTCAAATATTAAATGTGGAATGTGAAACTTACAGCTACTTATTTTGATTTGAAATTTTTCAGATGAGTTAATTGAGTGACTTTTATATTGTAAAGTTTAGTTTCCAGGCAAAGCTGGGTTCCCAAACTATGAATAAATTTGCTCCCTCTTGGTTTAAAAACTAGGAGTTATGAGGTACCTGTAAATGCTGTAATTACAAATAAGAGACAAAACTATTTTTCAATGAAACGCCATGAACTAAACTTGATTCAAATCAATATACTGCACAAGGGAACTCTACAGCAGAAAGGCATCGTCAATTATATTTTATTGTTTATGAAAACATTTATTCCTGTTTCATGGATTTTTGATAGTAAAAACGACATTTTCATTTTTTCCAGAAATGTTCGAAAATTCAGCGCCAGCGAAATATTATTCAAAAAAGCAAAATCAAAAATATTATGAAATATTAACTATATACGAATGCGTCGAAAAATAATCGATGAATTTTGGTTGTAATATCTTAATGATTTGTTTAAATTTAATTTGTTTTTTTAAGATCCGGGTTGAATATTGCAACTTTCTAAATTTGTATGGACGCTGCATTCTCCGGTATGAGTGTTTTTAACAATTTTCTCCTTATAGACGCGTCAGATAGAAGTAAGATTAGTAGCGATAAAAGCGCTTATTTTTCGCGAAGACTTCCTTTAAAGATTATATATCAAGCGAAAAAAATGACAATTGAAATAAAAAAACTCTAATCGAAAATACAATTGGCAGAAATGTTATCACAGAGAAAAAAATTAAATGAAAAAAAAACAAAAATATTCAAAATTTCAAGTTAAAAGATAGAAAAACACCAAAAAGAAGTAGCAGAAAAAGGTTAAACTGATTTCTATATAGATATATTTATAGAAAACTTAATGAAGTTATATAAAGGATTGAAAGGATTGAGTAGGGGAGGAGGGGGGATTACTAGGGATTAAGATAATATCACAAGATTAAATTTACAAGGATTAAATCAAACAGTCAAGACTTTATAATACTTTTCCCGAATTTTTGGAATATTTACTAGCTAGTAATTCATTACAATTAAATTTTTTTTGATCTAAGTCTAAGTTTAACTTTTTTAACAGTTTTGATAATTTACAAATAAGAACCACTAAAAATTGATTAAACTTTTTTTTTTACTACAAATAGTTGAGTTATGTTTAAAAACCTATAACAAGATTTCAATACAAATTAGTTCTATGAAAAACTTCAAGTCTAAAATACACAACAAAAAATCGCGACATTTTCACACAGATTAATTTCTTTATTTGAGCATAAGTTCAACTTATTT